TACTGAACTGTTACAGTTATATCAAGAGGCCAACAAGGAGCTACAAGGTGCCAACATGCCACTACAATCTTGGGCCTCTAATAATGCAACATTGAATAATCAAATAGCAAGAGATTACCCTGAATATCACGTACCAGAATCACAAAAGGTGTTAGGTATGGATTGGGATTTAATCTCGGACACAATATCGATCAAATCTGTGCCAGTAAATTACAACATCACTACAAAAAGGGATTTGCTTTCACAAGTTAGCAAAGTATTCGACCCACTTGGTCTACTAAATCCTTTGACTATCAAGTGGCGTTTATTGGTGCAACAAGCATGGAAAGCTAAGGTTGGTTGGGATGATCCACTACCAATCCAGTTACAAAAAGCTTGGATGGAAGTAGCTCAAGAACAAACTTTAGTTGAAAAGATAATCTTTCCAAGACACATAGTCGAGGAAAATGAAGAAGTATCACTACATGTATTCGCAGACTCGTCAGCCAAAGCTTTTGGAGCTTGTGCTTACTTAGTGACTTCTAATCAATCATATCTTATCAGCTCTAAGGCCAGAGTCGCTCCATTAAAAAAGAGGACTTTGCCTCAGATGGAACTAACAGCACTGCTAACTGGAACACGCTTAGCAGTGCATATCAAACAAGTCTTGTCTACCATGAACATCAAAGATGTCATTATATGGTCTGACAATGAAGCTGTCTTACAATGGGTACGAAACGACAACTGTCCAACTCCATATGTAAAAAATCGCGTCTCGGAAATTAAAGAAATTTCCGCAGGCTTTCAATTGTTGCATGTACCAACAAAGGATAATCCAGCTGATCTCTTATCAAGAGGTATGACATTTAAACAGTTTGCAAAGGCAGATATTTGGTTTCATGGGCCTCGATGGTTAGTGAATGGTAGTTGGCCTGAACAAAAGCCACACGTCATTACGACACAAACCATAACTACCACCAGGCAGCGAGCTCAAATATCAGTCTTGGATTGTACTCGTTACTCCTCGCTCATCAAATTAATCAATGTAACACAGAACGTGTTTCATTATCTCAGGAAAAAAGGTATAAAATACACTTTTCCTGATGCACTTATCTATTGGGTAAGACAAGCCCAGAGAGAAACTTATGGGAATAACTATGAAAATCTTCCACATAAGTTAAAACACAATCTCGGTCTGTGGATAGACCAAGAAAATCACAACATTCTGCGTTGTGGAGGGAGACTTAAACACGCAGATATCAATCTAGATACCGTGCATCCATGGCTTTTACCAAAAAATCATTGGATCACAAGGTTGATTGTGTTGCATACACATCAACAAATCATGGAGGAGTGTTAGACACACTCACACAAATCAGACAGCAGTACTGGATTCCTCAGGGAAGACAGTCAGTCAAATCAATCTTGAAGAATTGCATGATATGCCGAAGGTACGATGCAAGAACTTGCTCTTATCCAGGGCCACCACCCCTACCAAAGGAACGAGTGGTCCATCTACAACCTTTCGAAACGACAGGAGTAGATTATACAGGAGCAATATATCTAACAGGGACTGCAGATAAGCAACCTATCAAGGCATACATCTGTCTGTTCACCTGTGCTACCACCAGGGCAGTACATCTAGAGGTAACACCCGATATGACTGCTCAATCATTTATTCAAGCTTTCCGCAGATTCGCAGCACGCCGATCATGCCCTAAGCTGATGATTTCAGATAACGGAGCAAACTTGGTAGCTGGAGAAGCGTGTCTACGGGAAATCTGTTCCCATCCTGCAGTTACTTCCACACTGGAACAGCGTCATTGCAGATGGAAATTTATCCCTCCGAGAGCCCCATGGCACGGAGGATTTTATGAACGGTTAATAGGAACTGTAAAAAGATCCATGAGAAAATCTCTACACCGTCAGAAAATCAATCTTCAAGAACTCCAGACAGTAATCACGGAAATAGAATCAAGGGTGAATAACCGGCCGTTGACTTACTTGTCTGAGGATCCTACTCAACATGAGCCATTAAGTCCTGCCCACCTAATGTATGGAAGACTTCTGACTCCAGTACCATCTCTAGTGGATGATGAGATCAGAGATCCCTCATATGTGGGTCAGAGCGAGTTGGTTCAGGGGTATAAGCATCTGTCCAGCATAATCCAAAAATGGAATGATGTTTGGACAAAAGAATATCTTACATCTCTACGAGAACATCACTATGGGGCCAATGTCCCACATAATATAGCTAATCTCCAACCTGGCGATATTGTCTTGGTAGACAGTGATGGCCCTAGGGCTGACTGGCCATTAGGTAAAGTTGTCTCAGTCCATCCAGATAGTCAGGGGATTTTGAGAATAGTCAAAATCCTGTCTAAAGGAACAACTTCCCTGAAGACATTGGACAAACTCATCCACATGGAATCAGTGAGCCAGCTGCAGTTAGATCCTGAGAGACCTCAAGACACTCTAACTCCACAAGACCCACAGACTCCTAACAGACACAATCGTCCACAACGGACAGCAGCACAAAAGTGCAAGCAAAATTTGCACTTGTATTATCAATCCAATGGAGAGTAAATAAATACATATGGTTACTATTGTCCTAAGTATTGGACTCTGTGCCAGTTCTCTCCCTCTGGAAGATGTGGGAAATTTTTACCCACCATATCTAATAATCATCTAAGAAATGTATAATTTCTATATCATATCTAAATCATATCAAAATCATATCTAAATCGTATCAAATCATATTTGAATCATTAAAGATTCATTATAGCTTGATCCTGGATGACCATGGCACCATGAACACGTACGCAACAGGGGCCCTTTTGATGCCTACGTGACTTTGTACATGATCTCTCAAGGATCCAGAAGCTTCTAGAAGGACTTCTTAATTAAAAAACTATTGGAACATTGATTCAACATCCGGTAGGATTAAAAATCGAATCCTTAATAAGATTCAGTGGTACTTTCAAATACTACTTATAATCTTTAAATCTTATATCTAATTATATTATAATCACATCTTATCTTAATCATAAGTCTAGACTGTAAAAATAATCGATCAATATTCATAGAAGGCTACCGTGCACAGAGAGCATGGCAGGGCGATGGGGGGAGTGAAGCGCCCGCGACAAAGCCCAGCGGCACTCCGCGTTTGTTTACAAATGAGTGAACAAGTGACTGATCCTTAGCGAACATTACCAGCTCAAGGACACCTTATCTAACATTTTTATCGCCAGTGAATACTCTCTAGAACTGGGGGAGTACCTGGACAATATCTACAAGGAAAATCCGTGAACATTCACATAAAATAGAGTGTATAGTGGAGATCAGTGACACGGTTTCCTCCACCTTCATTCATAAACTTTTATCTCGAATCATTCTTCTGCAACTGCAGGATAATCACGTAGCAACGCTACCAGATCATCATACAGCAACGCTGTAGCAAAATATCGTGCCTAAACTCAACAAGAGAGTTAATCAGTCTGGCAAACTTGTCAGACAGGCACCCCGACTGGCAGAGAAGTATATTGAAGGTTATTTGGTGTATGATTGGCCAATTGTATGCTTGTGTAACTTTAATATCCTATAAATCTGTCTGTTGGTTAAAAAGCGAGGCTAAGCCTCACATATCGGTACGTTTATTAAAATTGTAGTGTAGCTGTGAATCTTATCCAAGCACTGAACCTCATGAGTGTCCATTCTGTCAGAAAAGAATTCAGCCTCAATAAGTAAAAACCTCACAAGTGTCCACAGTCTTGGAAAAGATTCAGTCAAGCTACCTGTATCATATAAACTGAATATGTCTGCATATATATTTGAATATATAAATTAAGTTATCAATTGTTTGCTTAGTTATTTATAAGTTATCATATAAGTTCATTTAATTGAATATAATTTCTAGTACTTGACAGTATTTAGACTACATTTAAGGTCATTTATTATACTTTTACAATTTAATTTGTTGTTTATAGTATAAGAATCTATTGGCTGTTAAGTTATGGTACTAGGTTAGACTATGTATGTTTAAATCCCTGATTTAAACAGAGCCAGTGTTCAGTCATACAACTGAATTTATCAAATCTTATCCTTGTATAAAATACAAGCTGATGTGAGATCCCTGTCTACAGGTGGATTGGAACTTCTATCAACTAAGTCATTCACCCCACCTGTCCCTTACAGCCCACAATCTGTCATTAGGAAAAGAGGAATTAGGATTTACAACCCTAGCTAGAGATTTTAGTTGAATTAATTTGCAGACAGTAATTTTTTAATTTAGTTCAGTACAAGTCCCTGGTAGTCTCCTCTTATATCAATCCCAGCAGGTTTTTCCCACAAATGGCATCTTATAATATATTCATGGAAGATACTGGAAGGCCAGGTCCCAAATTTACCGACTAAAATAACAACATACTGGAGACATAGATACGGAAGGATAGAACCAGTAAGGAGTAGAGGAGCCATAGGCACAATCAGAGAACACTGTCTGAACATCAGAGTTATCTGATTGTTCAGATAACTGTTATCTGATTGTTGAACAGCTGTTCAACACCCTCCCAGCAAGCATTAGAAATGTTGCCAGAACTAAGGTGAATGTCTTTAATGAACTTAGACAGGTTCAACAAATTATATCCAAACTATATAAATATCAGCATGAAAAAGATGTCTATCTTCTGTAGAAGACATTGAAAAACTACAAGTCGATGATAATAAAGTCTTCGAATGTGGAACGGAAAATAACATGTTTAGTAGTGATAAAAACCAGGTATTTATGTATAGTAAACGAAATGCAGGGTACAAGACACAAGTCAAATCTCCTTGTGAAAAGAAAACAGCATGTAAATGATCTGGGAATATTGATGTTTGGTGACCTAAAGTTTAGTTCGCATGAAAAACAAATATACCGTCAGCCAGGAAACTGACTGGATGGATTATGGGAACCTTCAAGTCCAGAGATTCCCCCACAATGCTCCTACTATTAAAATCTCTTGTGGTGGCTCGATACTCACTTCACCCTTCAGGGCAGGAGAGCCTGCTGAAATAGAGGGAGCACAGGAAACATTTACAGCACGCACAGGCACGATAAATCTCTTCAAGTACTGGGCTGTTTCAAAGAACTCAAAATGTAGTACTCTCTAGAAAGGAGACGTGAGAGGTATCACATAATACATACAAGGAGGAAACTGGAATGCCAGTTCCCAAATTTGCACAGTAGTATATCAACATACTGAAGTGAACGGGTTATCTTGAGGTTATCTTGAGATGATTTCGGGGCTTTTTTTATTGTCCCCGCGGCCCGGTCCTCTACCAGGCCTCCACTCCCAGGAAGCAGCCCGTGACAGCTGACTAACTCCCAGGTACCTATTTACTGCTAGGTAACAGGGGCATTTAGGGTGAAAGAAACTTTGCCCATTTGTTTCTGCCTCGTGCGGGAATCGAACCCGCGCCACAGAATTACGAGTCTTGCGCTCTATCCACCAGGCTACGAGGCCCCCAGAGTTAGTAGGCCCCTACAGGGTTAGTAGAAAATCCAGAATAAAACCAGTGAGGAGTAGCGGTGTCGTAAACACAACCAGAGAGCACTGTATGAACATCAGGGCTCAACGGCTGTTTAATATCCTCACAATCATAAGAAATATTGCTTCTGCAAAAGTGAATGTTTTGAAGACAAAATTAAACACGTTCCAACAAGAGGTGTTGGACCAATCATGTTGGAGTGGACGGGCCGCTCCAAGCAACAGCCTGATGGATCAAGTTATCACAAGTCGAGCCTAGCTTCAGGCCGGGTTCAGGGAGTAGAAGAACTCCCGAAACCCTCTCCAGGTATGTTCCAGGTATAATACAGGGATACAGTGTTGTGACTGGAATAACATGCTGAACAAAGTACAACAACAGTAGTACAACTGGTTGAACATGCTGAACAAAGAAGAACCACAAAAGTGTGACTCGGTGAACATGCTGAACAAAGAACAACAACAGTAGTGCGACTGGTTGAACAAGTAAAGGGAGGAAGTAAACAAGTAAAGGGAAATACTACTGGATATTTTTTTTTAGAGGAAGGCAGAAAGAGAGTAGAACATATAAGAGAGAGGAACAGGCAGATAGAACCACTCCAGAATTACAGAGGGGGAGGGAGATACCCACAAGACTGGCATACAAGTCATCAACCAGCACACAGGTACTACACCACACAACACCCGCACTACCACCAACACTGGATGAACCACTACCACAACAACACACCCTGGACCAGGGTGGAGAGGGGGGGGGGGAGAACTACCAAAGCCCACCAGAAATGACTCGCAATATGGGAAATCATTCAAGTTTGCAAACATACAATTACTAAAATCAAAATCAAGAAATAAAGTTAAGTTCATAAATGGCCTTCTACTAGAATCGAACTCAATATCTGGTGCATTTACAGAAACCCACACAAAAGACCACATAGATAGTGAAATCTGGATCCCAAATTATAATCTATATAGATGTGACAGAGTAATTAAGTCAAATGGAGGAGTAGGTCTGTATATTAAAGAGGAGCTGGCATGCACAGAGCTCCTGAACTCGACCAATGAGGTGGTAGAGGTACTGGGAATCAAGGTAGAAAATATAAATCTAATTATTATTCTAATATACAAACGGCCAGATGCAACAGTTGAGTCGAAACTCTCACAAGGCTTGGGGAGTAGAAGAACTCCCAGAACCCCATCAGCCAGGTATCAAGCAGGAGGAAACACTGTAAATAAACATCGCATAGAACAGTATCATCTATGGATATATCAAAGATATTTATGAAATTTCATTTTAAATAGAGCCCTTTGATGATGTTAAAATGAGTCGGTGAGCAGGGGAGGAGGAGCTTGGCCAGTGTGGCTGTGTAGCATTTAGAGGGAATATGAAGACACGATGAATATTTGAGATATGAGGAAAGCGTGAAGGAAGGTGCTCAACCACTTAGAACATCGGGGATTGAACACCAACCTTGCACGAAGTGAACCCGTTGATCCCCCCGTAAACTGAAGCATTATTACCAGAGCCATCCGGTGTTCTAGAACGCTTTGGACGCCTTTTATTACTCTAAAGCTGTTTGCCCTAAAGCTTTCATTACATATTTTAGCGTCTGATTTTCAAACATAGAAAGACACTATCGTCTCTATGTTGTCAGCTCTTGATTGTGCTCTATTTTCACATTGTAATACTAAATTTTAACCTTAAATTATTAAATATTACATTCCTTTTGTTATTTAACTACATTCTTCTCGGTCCAGGAGAGGAAGATGTTGAGTGGGTGAGGTAACGCGCACTCCACAACCACTGTCACTTCCTGATTACTGACTGGTTGGCAGAGTCCAGGGTGAGAGCAGGATAGGGTGGTCACCCGCGGAGGTGGCTCGGGGCTTCCGCCCTTGTGGGTGGGCTCGCGTCGGGCTCTCAGCTGGTCTACGAATTTGTTTCTCATTTGTGTTGGTAAAATGGTGGAGTGTCCAGTTGATGGATGTCTGGGGGGGGGGAGGGGGATGTCCCTTCCCAGTGGTGGGGCCTCCGGGGGTGGATCCTTCCCCTACCTGCCTAGTCATGGGTGTCCCTCTGGTGGGTGGGCATGGGTGTCCCTGTGGTGGGTGGGCATGGGTGTCCCTGTGGTGGGTGGGCATGGGTGTCCCTCTTCTCACCTAGTTGTGCTTGCGGGGGTTGAGCTTCGGCTCTTTGGTCCACCTCTCAGCTGTCAATCATCTAGTGAACAGGTTCCTGAACGTATTGGGCTTTATCATATCAATCTTGAGATTATCTTGAGATGATTTCGGGGCTTAGTGTCCCCGCGGCCCGGTCCTCGACCTGGCCTCCAGTCCCAGGAAGCAGCCCGTGACAGATGACTGACTCCCAGGTACCTATTTACTGCTAGGTAATAGGAGCATTAGGGTGAAAGAAACTCTGCCCATTGTTTCTCGCCGGCGCTCGGGATCGAACCCAGGATCACGTGCCCAGTGTTCTGTCCGCTCAGCCACCGGCTCCCTGAGCAATCACCTATCTACATTTAAAACTGTGTGTGGAATCGGCCTCTACAACATCACTGCCTAATGCATTCCGGTTACCTTGATTTCGGGGGTCAATGTCCCCCGCGGCCCGGTCCCCGACCAGGCCTCCTCGTTGCTGAACTGGTCAACCAGGCTGTTCGACGCAGCTGCTTGCAGCCTGACATATGATTCACAGCCTAGTTGATCAGGTATCCTTTGGAGGTGTTTGTCAAGTTCTCTCTTGAACCCTGTGAGGGGTCGGCCAGATATGTCCCTTATGTGTAGTGGAAGCGTGTTGAACAGTCTCGGGCCTCTGATGTTGACACAGTTCTCTCTCAGAGTACCTGTTGCACCTCTGCTATTCAACGGGGGTATTCTGCACATCCTGCCATGTCTCCTGATCTTGTGTGGTGTTATTTCTGTGTGCAGGTTTGGGACCAGCCTCTCTAATATTTTCCTATTTTCTACAATTCACTCTACGGGATAGAGTGAAGCATTTCAGTTGTTCTGCTATTTGTTTCCTTTCAGAAGCAATTCCCGTTACAATTTTTTAACTTTTTCTCTTTTTTCGTAGTAGTATGTGGCTTACGCATTATATCTAGTGATACTGTGGCTTACGCATTATATCTAGTGATACTGTGTGGCTTACGCATTATATCTAGTGATACTGTGGCTTACGCATTATATCTAGTGATACTGTGGCTTACGCATTATATCTAGTGATACTGTGGCTTACGCATTATATCTAGTGATACTGTGACTAGTTTTTCAAAGCACTGAATTATGTTTGTATTATCTAGCTGTTCCTCCCAGTATATTTTTGTGAGGCTGCAGGTTAATAATTCCCTTTTAATCTGTTTATCAAAATTAGATTTATTGAATTCTCTTCCCCTCGGGTTGAGACTGGCGGCGCTGGTTTATTGCTCCTTCTGACAAGTTTGTTTTACCTACTGACAGTGCTCCATAATTTGTTTATGTTACACCTTTTGAGACACGGTCGCCATTAGTGTGTACCTTCACTACACACTACCTTCGTTACACACATATGATTCTTGTTATTCATTCATTTTAGTTAGTAAATGGAATGCACTAGGAGGTAATGTGGTGGAGGCTGACTCCATACACAGTTTCAAGTGTAGTTATGATAGAGCCCAATAGGCTCACAATACTGTACACCAGTAGATTGACAGTTGAGAGGCGGGACCAAAGAGTTGAAGCTCAAACCCCGCGAGCACAACTAGGTGAGTACACAGCGATCATCATTACATTACCAACCATTCCTCTACTGCTGGTTGTCGTTGAACACTTCTCGATAAGTGTATATATCAAACCTTACCTCCGTCTGCTCTCGTATTGTCGTCTTGATTAGTATAAATTACTTATGTTTGAGTTGCTCATCTATATAACCCAACTGGCATATAGTATTTTAACCTAATAATTATACTTATTACTTACTCCCTAAGATCAAGTAACTGTGTTCGCAACAATCAATGCCTTGAAGGCCAAACACAGGAGCAGGAACCTTGTATAACTCATCCTCAGATCAAATGAAGCATTATTAATTATTTATATTCACACAGGCTAATAGAATTTAAGACGTGTGTGTTGAATATAAGTGAAGGACTCTACTTGAGAAGCTTCAGACGTGCCATTTGAAGCTAAACGCGAATGACCGGAGACAGGAGCTCCGGTGCTACAGTCATCCCGGCTTGGTGCCTTCTTTGGTAAATACTTCATCACCGAAAATCTTATGCCATTGTTCAGGTCACATGGAGAAGCCAAACACAGTTGGGTCCACTTCTCTTCATCGGTGTCCGGGCAGACCACTCACTCTGGACTATGTACCTTGATGTGTACATTAGTATGCTCCGGCGCTCACGACTCCCACCTGTGTATACGCGCACATATTGACAGCTTGTATAGACCTGCGTATAATCTTTATATTCATTGTGATCATCATACCTTGATTCGAAACCGGTTTTGCATAGCAAGATTTTAGTAAGACTCCTTGAGACCACAACATGTGAGCGAGCGGGAGAATGTGAGTAAGTGTGGGGGGGGGGGATATGAGGACTATGGAGCAATATTGCTCAACCACAAGGATCATCGGGGGATCGAACACCGACCGTACAGGAAGCGAGGCTGTGTCACTTCCGATAGGTCCAAGTTAATGAAGTACAAAATGCTCCAAAGGAATGGGAAATGCGAATAAATAATGAGGAAGTGGTGGGAGAGGGAATGATGAGAGAGGAAAGGGAAGAGTGCAATAGAGGGAAAAAAAAGAGACGGGAAGGGTGGGTTGGGAGAGAAGGGAAGAGGGAGGGTAGAAGGGAGGGAGGGGGGGGGGAGGTAAGGTGGAAGAGTGTGGGGTGGGAGCCGGGATGGAGGAGGGAGGGAGGGAAGGAAGAGTAATGATGATGGAGAGGATCTGAGAGCGGGGCTTCCAGTCTCCACACCCGGCGCCTCTCCTGCCCTTGTGGTGGGCCTGGTATTGACGGCTTCTCAATACTGGCTCACCGGGCGCCCATTGTTGTTACTGCCCCCTCTACTCTTCCCACATGTTGCTGGTAGGTGCTGTGTGCTACCTGACCCCCGCTGTGGCTGTGTGGTACCTGACCCCCGCTGTGGTTGTGTGGTACCTGACCCCCGCTGTGGCTGTGTGGTACCTGACCTCAGCTGTGGCTGTGTGGTACTAGACCTCCGCTGTGGTTGTGTGCTACCTGACCCCCGCTGTGGCTGTGTGGTACCTGACCTCAGCTGTGGTTGTGTGGTACTAGACCTCCGCTGTGGCTGTGTGCTACCTGACCCCCGCTGTGGCTGTGTGGTACCTGACCCCCGCTGTGGCTGTGTGGTACCTGACCTCAGCTGTGGTTGTGTGGTACTAGACCGCCGCTGTGGTTGTGAGGTACCAGACCGCCGCTGTGGTTGTGAGGTACCAGACCGCCGCTGTGGTTGTGTGGTACCTGACCTCAGCTGTGGTTGTGTGGTACCAGACCTCCCGCTGTGGTTGTGTGGTACCAGACCTCCGCTGTGGTTGTGAGGTACCTGACCTCCCGCTGTGGTTGTGAGGTACCAGACCGCCGCTGTGGTTGTGTGGTACCAGACCTCCGCTGTGGTTGTATGGTACCAGACCGCCGCTGTGGTTGTGAGGTACCAGACCGCCGCTGTGGTTGTGTGGTACCAGACCTCCCGCTGTGGTTGTGTGGTACCAGACCTCCGCTGTAGTTGTGTGGTACCAGACCTCCGCTGTGGTTGTGTGGTACCAGACCTCCCGCTGTGGTTGTGTGGTACCAGACCTCCGCTGTGGTTGTGAGGTACCAGACCTCCCGCTGTGGTTGTGTGGTACCAGACCTCCCGCTGTGGTTGTGTGGTACCAGACCTCCCGCTGTGGTTGTATGGTACCAGACCTCCCGCTGTGGTTGTGAGGTACCTGACCTCCCGCTGTGGTTGTGTGGTACCAGACCTCCCGCTGTGGTTGTATGGTACCAGACCTCCCGCTGTGGTTGTATGGTACCAGACCGCCGCTGTGGTTGTGTGGTACCAGACCTCCCGCTGTGGTTGTGTGGTACCAGACCTCCCGCTGTGGTTGTATGGTACCTGACCTCCCGCTGTGGTTGTGTGGTACCAGACCTCCGCTGTGGTTGTGTGGTACCAGACCGCCGCTGTGGTTGTGTGGTACTAGACCGCCGCTGTGGTTGTATGGTACCAGACCTCCCGCTGTGGTTGTGAGGTACCAGACCGCCGCTGTGGTTGTGAGGTACCAGACCTCCGCTGTGGTTGTGTGGTACTAGACCTCCCGCTGTGGTTGTGTGGTACCAGACCTCCCGCTGTGGTTGTGAGGTACCTGACCTCCCGCTGTGGTTGTGTGGTACCAGACCTCCGCTGTGGTTGTGTGGTACCAGACCGCCGCTGTGGTTGTGAGGTACCAGACCTCCGCTGTGGTTGTATGGTACCAGACCTCCCGCTGTGGTTGTGAGGTACCAGACCGCCGCTGTGGTTGTGAGGTACCAGACCTCCCGCTGTGGTTGTGAGGTACCAGACCTCCCGCTGTGGTTGTGTGGTACCAGACCTCCCGCTGTGGTTGTGTGGTACCAGACCTCCGCTGTGGTTGTGAGGTACCTGACCTCCGCTGTGGTTGTGTGGTACCAGACCTCCGCTGTGGTTGTGAGGTACCAGACCTCCGCTGTGGTTGTGTGGTACCAGACCGCCGCTGTGGTTGTGAGGTACCAGACCTCCCGCTGTGGTTGTGAGGTACCTGACCTCCCGCTGTGGTTGTGAGGTACCAGACCTCCCGCTGTGGTTGTGAGGTACCAGACCTCCCGCTGTGGTTGTGTGGTACCAGACCTCCGCTGTGGTTGTGTGGTACCAGACCGCCGCTGTGGTTGTGAGGTACCAGACCTCCGCTGTGGTTGTGTGGTACCAGACCGCCGCTGTGGTTGTGAGGTACCAGACCTCCCGCTGTGGTTGTGTGGTACCAGACCTCCGCTGTGGTTGTGTGGTACCAGACCGCCGCTGTGGTTGTGAGGTACCAGACCTCCGCTGTGGTTGTGAGGTACCAGACCTCCCGCTGTGGTTGTATGGTACCAGACCTCCCGCTGTGGCTGTGTGGTACCAGACCGCCGCTGTGGTTGTATGGTACCAGACCTCCCGCTGTGGCTGTGTGGTACCAGACCGCCGCTGTGGTTGTATGGTACCAGACCGCCGCTGTGGTTGTGAGGTACCAGACCGCCGCTGTGGTTGTGTGGTACCAGACCTCCCGCTGTGGTTGTGTGGTACCAGACCGCCGCTGTGGTTGTGTGGTACCAGAGTGCCACTGTGGTTGTATGGTACCAGACCGCCGCTGTGGTTGTGTGGTACCAAAGTGCCACTGTGGTTGTGTGGTACCAGACCGCCGCTGTGGTTGTGTGGTACCAGAGTGCCACTGTGGTTGTATGGTACCAGACCGCCGCTGTGGTTGTGAGGTACCTGACCTCCCGCTGTGGTTGTGTGGTACCAGAGTGCCACTGTGGTTGTATGGTACCAGACCGCCGCTGTGGTTGTGTGGTACCAGACCTCCCGCTGTGGTTGTGAGGTACCAGACCGCCGCTGTGGTTGTGTGGTACCAGACCTCCCGCTGTGGTTGTGTGGTACCTGACCTTCCGCTGTGGTTGTGTGGTACCAGACCTTCCGCTGTGGTTGTGTGGTACCAGACCTCCCGCTGTGGTTGTGTGGTACCAGACCTCCCGCTGTGGTTGTATGGTACCAGACCGCCGCTGTGGTTGTGTGGTACCAGACCTCCCGCTGTGGTTGTGAGGTACCAGACCTCCCGCTGTGGTTGTGAGGTACCAGACCGCCGCTGTGGTTGTGAGGTACCAGACCGCCGCTGTGGTTGTGTGGTACCAGACCGCCGCTGTGGTTGTGTGGTACCAGAGTGCCACTGTGATTATGTGGCAGTGTTGCAACCTTGCGGGTACTTTCCGAGAATAAACGTCCCTGTGGCCCGGTCTCTGATCAGGCTTCCTGATTGGTGGTCTGATCAACCAGACCATTGGATGCGACTGTTCGCAACGTGACGTATGAATCACAGCCTGGTTGATCAGGTTTCCTTTAGAGGTGATTACCGAGTTCTCATGTGAGCACCGTAAAAGGCTGGCCAGTTGTTATTCTTTAACTATAGCTGGAGCGTTTACAATAGTCTTTGATGTTGATAGAGTTCTCTCTCAGAGTACCTATTGCACCTCTACTTTTCAACGGGGCTATTCTGCACATCCTGCCATGCCTCCTGATCTCATGTGATGTTATTTCCGTGTACAGATTTCGAACCATTCTCTCTAATATTGTCCAAGTGTTAATTAATATGAATCGTTAACAAATTTAGATGTTTTATTGATTGAATTTTTTGCAGAAAATATCTTTGCAGTCTCTCTAGGTCAGCAATTTCTCCAGCTTTGAATGGGGCTGTTAATGTGTAACAATATTCCACCCTGTCTCATGCCATATACCTTGCTACACAGCTTTTACCATGCTTAAAGTGTATATATTCTCAGGCTTCCTGTCCCAAACAACGGGAATTATCATTATGTGTTTTACCGAAAGTTCCGAGTCAGGTCAGATATACTCTTTATCATACCAGGAGTCAGGTCAGATATACTCTTTATCATACCAGGAGTCAGGTCAGATATACACTTTATCATACCATGAGTCAGGTCAGATATACTCTTTTATCATACCAGGAGTCAGGTCAGATATACACTTTATCATACCATGAGTCAGGTCAGATATACTCTTTTATCATACCAGGAGTCAGGTCAGATATACTCTTTATCATACCAAGAGTTAGGTCAGATATACTCTTTATCATACCAAGAGTTAGGTCAGATATACTCTTTATCATACCAAGAGTTAGGTCAGATATAATCTTTATCATATCCATTGGCTCTTGATCTGAAAGACACTCTTTCCAGTCTTGTCACCATCATCACCATCTCATTATCACTATCATCACCATCTATTATCACCAACATCTCATTATCAACTCATTATCATCATCATCACCATCTCATTATCACCATAATCACCACCTCATTATCACCACCATCTGGGTTAGTATTACAACTAAGAATGGGTTAATTTATGTTTAAATTGGTTTCAGCTGTTTAGTTGTATGTGAGAGCTGGTCTTCCAACATCAGTCTTTGGTCCGCCACCTGTGGTCCGTCTTGGTCCGTCGTGGTCCGCCACCTGTGGTCCGTCGTGTCC